TTTTCCACCTTCATAACATTGAGCTTTATTTAATCCTGCTGGACTAGACTTTTTTACCACCTCAACCACATGATCCACACAATCCACTCTTGTTCTTCTGTAGAGTTTTTTAATCATGCCAAAATTACCATCACATTTGAATTTGGCATGTCCTGGAATCATGAAGTTTAACTCAATACTTTCATAATAACCACAAATTATCAAATATAAATAAACCAAACTGTTACATTGTTTTTATTCTGTCCACCTGCATTATCACAAGTAAAGACACCTGCCATAATTGGTTATTTGCGGCAATGGTAGCTACCATAGGGTAGTTACCCCTGGTAGTTACCATTATAAAATAATTACGGCTGCCACAAATAGATACGGCTGCCGCAAATAATTAATTGCAAATTTTATTTTTCACCAACTAGAGTATGCGAATATGCCGGTCACCGGGATTTTTTTTTTATTTTTTTTTATTTTTTTTTTCTAGTAAAAAAATTTGGCAAGATTTTTAAAACATTATATGATTATTTCAATTTTCGTTTTGACTATTTTCTATATTAATTAATTTAATTATTAACGTTATTATTAATAATTAATAAAATGATGTAAAAATGATGACATTACAAAATGATATCATTGTTTTTATTTTTATGATATCATGCAAAAATTAGGTTTTTCTTTTAGGCTTTTTTGAAAATTTGAAAATGCTATATAAACAATGTTAATTCTTGTAAAATTCTATATTCTATATAATATATATATATACAAAATAAATGCATAAGGCACAAAGCATAAAGCATAAGGCATAATACATTATAATAAAATTGAAAGCAATTTTTTTTTGTGTGATCATTGTCTATATACTTTAATAATATCAAAATGCGATATAATAGGACTTAAACTTTTTTTATTAAGAAAATTTGATATATTTGGAATTATCATGCAGCAAAACATGGTCAACAAAAATACTTATACATTAATTAAATTCATCAAAAAAAATTTAGTTACTGAACTGATCTACAAATAATTCAAAAATTTCTCATGAAAATATGACAAATGGGACGTTTCACAGCAAAAACCACCTCTGGGGTCATCTGACCAAAATTGAGCTTTTTACATAATATTGATCTATA